ACGCTTTGGGAATAGGTCTGGATTGTTTTTCTTTTCAGTAGAAACTATATATGTGGGAAAGATTGTTGAACCCACAGTAACTTAGTATATGGTTAATTAACTTGAACAAAAAAAGGAAAGCTTTTGCTTTTCCCTTTTCCAGTTTTGTTTTAATTGGAACAGTGTTGATCTAAGAAACTTTTGTATAGACATTGGAAGAGTCGAGGCTATATTTACACTCTGGAACACAAATCCTTGCCTTCTAATGTAGAATTTTCATAAACGCATCATGGTAGAGGGCTCCCTGGGACAGATAAGTTCTCAGTAACTAAGTCTGTTCGTTTGGTGGACAGCGTAGGACTGAGCATGGCAACTGTTCACTGTTAACATCTTAGAACTTTTATGTGTAGCCTAACTCATTTCAAAAAAGAATTCCTGAGAAAGCATATGCGGAACAACACAATTGAACACACGAATTAAAGAGAAGAGATTGGATGCAATTTAAAATCAGAAGAGTGAAGATTTTACCAGGTGTACCTCCTTCTTCCAGAAGGCAGCACTAATCCCTTCTCTGCCCAGGCTCCAAGGAGCCCAGCGTAGCCCTGAGGGCTTCTGGGTTGTAGGACAGATTGCCAGGGAAGTGATTATGGGAAGAAAAAGTGCTGAACTTCCCCTCAGTCCCAGAGAGTGTGAAGGGGAGGATAATAAGGAAGGAGAATAAATAAAATTTGTTGCAGTATTACTCTAAGTAGTAATGGAAATACCAGACCACACTACAGCTGTTTCTGTGCGCATGTCAGTGGGATTCTTTGAAGGAAGTAACACATTTTCTTGAGAAATTTCCAGCTTTGCAGCACATGAAGTTCCCCATATCTAGTAAAGAATTTCAATTGACTTCTGGATTGTTTGTTTTCATCCTAGAAGCTTGCTTCAAATTTTCTTTTAATTTAATACAAACGACTTCACAATTTGATCTTCCTTCTTAATTTTTTTTGACATAAAACATAAATCCTTTGTGTGGGGAAAAGTATAGGGATGCTGATGAAAAGATTAATACATATATTACTTCGTATGTTTGAAATATAAGAAATGAATTCAAGTTTCTGAAGGTACTAAATGATCTACAATGAGAAGTCATCCTCTTATTTACTCCTGGCCTATTAACCAGAAGTCCTTTCTCTGGAAACCGCTACTTTTATCAGTTTTTTGCATACCTCATCAGACATACTTTATAACTAAATATGTAAATATCCACTGAAATACCCAAATTTTTGTGTGTATTTTTCTGAATCTAGTCTTTTACAAACATTGGCGGTATGTCTTGGAGATTGTTCTGTATCAATACATACAAAGGTGCTTAATTCAGTGGGTGAGTATGCAGTATGAGTGTTCCATTATGGAAGATGATACTGAGCATTATGTTCCATAGGAAGCAGAATTAATATCATTCATATTTATTGGTGAGTTAATCTTATTTATCATAGTTATTTAATAGTATATGAATATTTAACTACACTTCCTCTGATATTTAAAATAGCTTTCTTAAATTATTTTACACTTTACTAAACAGTATGTTGTTTGCTCCTGTATATCTGTATGTGGAGAAAGTTTGTCAGGTTGAAGTATGTGTACATTTGTATTTTTTAATGTGTAATGTGTTTTTAAGGTTTAAACAATATTTTGATATGCATAGTGAAATGGTAACTATGATCAAAGGAATTAAGATATCCATTATCTCATAGTTACCTCTGTGTGTGTGTGTGTGTGTGTGTGTGTGTGTGTGTGTGTGTGTGTATGGAGAGAAACCAATCTACTCTTGGCAAAGCTCCAGTGTATAATTCAGTATCATTAATGGTAGTCATCAAGCTGCCCAGTCCATTATTCATCCTAAGTGACTGTATAACTTTATACCCTTTGGCTTCCAGCTCTCCATTTCTTCTTGCTCTCCTCAATTGTAATTTTGGCTGATATTGCTAAACTAAATGCCTTTACATACAAGTTAGCCACTGCTTGTGTCATTAGCATTATGATGTGCTTATTAAATTTTTGATATTCACAAATCTAATAGGAGAAAAATCCTGACCTATGTTGGTATAATTTATATTTCTCTGATTTAAGTAAGATTTTTTTTCTGTATGCTTAAGAGCTTTTTTTAAAATGTTACATGTTTTACTGCCCTTTAAGATGAACCAAGTTGCAATCCAAATTCAAGGCCATGAAAAGGAAGAGCAAAAATAATGTAAACATTATTTTACAGAGAATACAATTATTCATTCGCATTTATGTAACGATCAAACAATCATATAATAAATACTGTATCTTTCTTTATGCACCAAGCTTTCACTATTCTGTGTGCTTGGAATAAACCACTAGAGAAGTCAGGGAAGATCTCTGTCCTCATGATGATCATCTTCTTGCAGAGGAAGGCAACTATCAATAAGAAATCATTATGTAGCGTGTTAAACCTAAAATGATACATCTGCAGTGCGTGGAAATGAGTCAGGTAGGTCTCCTTGAGAAATAGAGATGTGAGTAAATATTTGAGGCTGGAGAACGGTAAACCAACAAGATATTTAGGGAAAAAAAATTCTAGCAGAGGAAGGAGCCAGTGCCAAAGGCCTATAATGGCAGTGTGCCTGGTGTGCTTGAGGAGCGCTCAGGATGCTGGTTTAGCGCAGGTGAATCAGCGAGGAGAGAGAAGTAGCTGAGGGGAGAGAGGTAAGGCAGCTGCCAGGCTGTGTCCGGCCTTGTGGACGGCTGTGGGAACACGGCCATGCATTTGGTTATGGTTTATTCATAGGTATGTGTGGATACGCGCTTGCGTCCACAGTGAGTGCATTTGGTGCATGCACATGACATAACCTCCATTATTTTTCCATCCCCTTTTTCTCCCTCCACCTTTTGGTCCCCTTTCCATTTGCAAAAAGATCTGTCTCCCTGTTTCCTTTCATCTGTATTTCATTTTCTTCAGAGTTACTTGTGTTTCCTATCCTGTGATCCACCTTTTCCCCTTTTCCTGGTTTTTAGCATTATTCATTATGGGGGCTGGGATGCTGGGACTGGATCTGGGCTTCACACGTGTTAGCTAAGAGCTTTACCCGAGCCGCGCTGGCAGCTCTGGCTTTATTCCTCTTGACAGCATCAGCCCGATGTAATTAGAAAAATCATCCTAAATAGTTTACAAATGAAAGGGCACCCTCTAATTCTTTGCTTATCATTAATGTTTCATTTTAGAGGGTTCTAACTTTTGTTTTTATGGGTTAAACCTACCAGTCTTGCTTCATGCCGTTTCCTGGAAGGCCTGTGATTTGAAGTGCTGTCTTTGTCGTGCACCTTTATCTTCATCTTTGACCATTTCTCCACCTTTGCAGTTTGTTCTGTTGCTTTTCCCTTCTGTCCACACACTGCATTATGATGTGTAATAATATCTCACAGAACTGGTGCCCTCATCGCCTTTTAAAGAGGGAGCAGGCTCACCATGTGAACTTAGAATTAACTTGTCCAATAACTCCAATTTTTAAAAAAGTTTTTAAAATTAAGAGTTTATTAAGTATATAGATATAACTTTGAATTGCCACCTTTTGGCTGCTGAGTCTGTTTGGGGGGATATATCTTTAATTGGTTTGACTTTTGTGTTGCATTTGAAAATTTTCATGTAAACTTTGTTCCTTAAGATTTTCTAGGTATTTTACTCTTTTGCTCTCTCTCTCTCTCTTTTTAAATAAGAATTCTTATATTTAAATAAGAATTTGGAAACTTGTTTTTAGATGAGTTGGTATAATTTAAACATTATTAAAATTACTCTTTAAATTTTGTCAGAATTTCCTCTCTGAACCGTTTACTCCTGTTACTTGTTGGAGAGACTACTTCTGCTTTTTCTGTGGTGTTAACCTATTTACATTTCTGCCCCTTGCCTTGGTCAGGATGTGGCATCTTGAGTCTGTGTTACACATTATTTACTAATCATCTTCGGCTCATACAGCTTGAGGGGTTAGGATATTTTTTTTTCCAAGAGTGGCAGCTCTTTCCCTGTTCTGTGTTTCCTGGTGATTGGCAGTTACATCTGCCGTGCATATTTATCTCCTGAGGACACTCCCTCATTGCAGGCATGTGCAACCACACTTGGCTTATTTATTCATGAAGATTAAAGGATACAATGTTACATAACTGTTTAGGTTAGACTGAGTTTGATGATACAAAACCTGACCAAAAAATACGATGTTTTTAAATAAAATTTATTACTGTAAAGGGCACAATGCCATTGATTTTGCTCAGAATATTCCCTGTCACTGTGAACACACTTATCCCATAATTTTTTGCACTTCCTGGATCCTTTCTGGGGGTCCACTTTTGTGTTTTTATGTGGTGCAATCAAAAATAAGTGAGTGTATTGCCAAGTGCCATCCAATGGAAAGACAAACATAAAATTATTACCAATGTGTCCTCATCCACCATATTTATTAGATCTGGCATTGCATGACTTCTGGGTGTTCTCTAAAGTCAAAATGACCATGAAAGATAAATGTTTGGAATCAGTTCAGACATTAAGGCAGCCACTACAGCACAACTAAAGACTCATGCGAGAAGACTCCCAGAACTGCTTCAGAAAGTGGCCAGAACTATGGGATGAGGGTGTGCCACGCAAGGAGTGTGCACTGTTTTGATGGGAACTGTTGGCAGTGTCTTTCACCGTAAGAAAAAAGTTTTAAATTGTAAACATCGATTGTATTTTTCCAACACATTACTTACTTTTTCAGGTGAGTAAATTTGTTCCCCTTATATGACCAGACAAATTAATTTAGAGAATTAAAAAGTTTAACACTACTTTTGCTTTCTGTATCCCAAGTATTCCTGAATTTGGTTAGGAAATGGAATCCACAATACTGTGGTCAAAGAGGTACAAACAATGGTAATGTTGACCTAAATTTAGATTATAATAGTAAGAAAAGCAGGATTCATGGCAAGAGTGTGCCGAGTATGTTGAAGACTTATTGACTATCTATTCTTTCCTTTTGTTACAGATTTGTCTAAAAACAGACTGGTTGAAGTTCCAATGGAATTGTGCCATTTTGTATCACTGGAAATTCTTAATCTGTATCATAATTGTATCAGAGTCATTCCTGAGGCGATCATTAATCTGCAGATGCTGACCTACTTAAACTTGAGGTAGGTAAACTAAAAAAGTTGTCATCAAGTTTGTGGATTGAAATACAAGATGATTATATCTTCCTTCTATCCTTTTTACCACTTTGCAGTTCCTGATCACACAGGGATCATTTAAGAAATGTTTTATAATAAATTTGTACTGTCTTTAATAATTGTTCTTGATGCAAGACTAACCTGATTGTTAATATGACAAGATTTTTAAAAAAAATATGGATGCTCTGTGTCTAATTTGTGCTTCACATTGTAGCTGTGCTATACTTAGGTATTCATGTAGCCTGGGGAGAAAGAAGGGGAAAGGAAGGGGGAAGACTGAAGGCTGGAATAATCAAGCCTTACCGATCGTTAGGGATTGTGCAAACCACTGTCCTTCGCTCCCAAGGGCTCACTGAACACCTTCTGCTTAGGCCGTCTAAGGAAAGCGAGGAGGAAAACTGAGCTACCTGAGCCAGACCCAAAGCTTCCTGTCTTTATAGCCCGCTAAGTCAGGCCAGTGTGTGTGAGGATGGCGTGTAGGACAGGGTGAGTCACTGATGATGTATAGCATAGGGCATGGTATCAATACCCTGCGGTGTCCCCGAAGTTAAGAAAATTGGTTCTTTTAAGGCGTTGATTTTAGGTTTTGCAGCTGGCTGCTCTGGCCAGATTCTGGCTCTTTGTTACTTAACTCTTTGCCTCACAAATCAGGCATTTCAGGAGAGAAGAGGGTATTTCTATCTCTATTATAGAAAAAAGGTCTTAAATTCTAGCTCATGGCACTTGCCTGTCATCCTAGTATGTAAAAGGTAAGATCTGATTAACTAAGCTTGTGATGTGTAACAAATAAACCCAGTTTTTAGGTTCAAAATTCCCCACGGAACCACACGGAACAACACTATAATAGATGATAGTACCAGTGGGGTATTTTGCTTTTTAAATGGCTACTGAGAAGTCTGGTCCTTCTCTTGCCATCTTTGTGGCCAAAAGAAGCAGGAGGTGGGGGAGTTCCTGTTGTATTTTGCAGTTTTGCATCAAGGTTGATAAAGGTTGTGGGATGTTTATAAGTTTGTAACTTCTTTTTGGTAAATGAGTTTGAGGGTTACTGTTAGGATTATCTGTAAACAGGTGTCAGCTCTTCACTTCTAAGGTTTCTAATTCACCTGACAATTATACCTTTTCTTTCTTTTTTTAAAAATCAGTATCAGGGATTGAACTCATGACTAGTGCTTACAAGGCAGGTGCTTATGCTGCTGAGCTAAATCCCCAGCCCCAATTCTTGCCGTGTCTTTTTAAAATTTCCTGCATTTGTACATATTGACAGCATGTAATGTCTGCTTTCCTTGTGTGAAGTTGGTTCCTGTATATAACACATTTTAATTGTTTCTTCGTGCCTTCCCTGCCCTCCTGCCTTTCCCTTCCTTCATCTCTTGGGCCCCTTCCCATTGGAGAACATCTGTCAGCCTACTTCCTACTATTTAACTTTCAGTTTGCTCTTTATTTACAATTTGAGTTTCTCATCTAAGGAAAGTCATGTGATATTTAAGTATGTGTCTGATTTATTTCACTTAGCCTTATGGTGTTACAGTGTATCTATTTTCCTACAGTGGACTGAAATTTATTTGCTGTGTGGCAGAGTAGTGTCCCATTGTATGTAAATGTCATACTTTATCTGTTGATGAACATATAAGCTGCTTCCAGCATTTAACTACTGTGAGTTGTCTTGCTATAAACATGGGTATGTATATGTCACTGTAGTATGATGTCTTTAACTCTTTCAGAAAGATACCTGGAAGGGAAATAGCTGGATCAAATGGCATTTCTAGTTCTAGTTTTTTGAGAGCTATTCACACTGACTTCCATAGTGGTTATACTGGTTTACATTAACACCAGCAGTGTAGGGGGTTCCTTTTTCCCTGCTGTCTCACCAGTGTTTGTTATTATCTGCCTCAGCAGGATGTAGCTATTTTAGGATTGTCTACTGAGCCAGCATAGTGGTGTCTGTAAGTTTTGGTTCAACATTTCCCTGAGACATTTTTCTTGTAACCCAACCACAAAGGGGAACTATTCCAAAGGCATATGCAGTTGGTCTGTTTACTTACCCTCTCCGGTTCTTCTGTGACATTTTTACTTTGATAGTTAGTCCTGCATGCACTAAGTAAATAGATTAACTTTACACTGTTATATTAAGTCCAATTGTGCTGAAAAGTTTTGGGTTATAGATAACATTTTTTGAAATAGACTATAAAAATTCTAAAAATACTTGCTAATCTAATCTCATGTTTTTTGAGACATTAGTGAAGTTGATTTTCTTATGATGATTTTCAGGTTACATTTTGTTGAGACTAGAAGATTATTATCATGTTTAGATGGATAGAAATTTGGAGTGTGGGTCTCAGAACTGTCTTGAACAAGGACAGAAAGAATTAGAGAGGTTTTTGATGATGACTAAGGAAACCTGTGTGGTACATTAAAAGCAGAGTTTTGTGGGTAATTCCAGGTAATAGAAAAGAAAGAAATACAGGGACAGTGAAGCACTCAACTCTAAATGTTGTTCTCTATCAATTCCCTAATTTCAGGCTTACCTTCCTCTTTTCCCGTTTGGATTGGCTGTTTTTGTTTTTGTTCTGTTTTTCTTTGTTCACATTTCCTGCTTTTAATATTACCATGCACGAGACCTTTCTCTTATTTTGAATCATGCGATTGTTGAAGGAATGTGATAACTATATGGGAAAAAACCAACAAAGGGCAGTCCTCTTTACTCCCAGAGATGTGTTACAGGGTGTATGAAAAATGTGTGGACAGCCTCTAAACCTTTGGAAAGGAAGTACTAATGACTTTTAATGCCACTTATACAATTTACTGGATATAAGTGTGTAAACATAATAAATGTGTAAACATAAAATAGTAAGAAGGACAAGCCTTAAAGCTGTCAAAAAGATCATCTTGTGCTATTCAGTCACATGTCCTTTAATTCCTACTCGACTACTGAGTTTAGTTGACCCATCTTGCAGGAATTAGACCCTTGAAATTGAGTTAATTTTCTGTCTGAGAGTGACCTCAGATAGAACACAATACAACACTTGACTAAAATATTTATTTGTAGCTTGTAAAATAGTAGGTGACTATCAACACCTGTGTTCTTTACAAACGTATAATAGTATCCAAATAATATTAGTGGCATCTAATTAAATTGCTTGGTCTTCTAAGGTAGTGTGTGATATCATCCACAGAGCACTGTTGTCTGGATGAGTTCCTTCAATCTGCACAATGTCTGCCTCCCAGCTATGCCTGCCCTGGTCACCAGGAAGAGCTCAGAATATCCTGAGTGTATGATCACAGTACACATCTCCTTCACAAAACTCAAGATATTTACTGTGATCGCTTCTAAATTTTCTGACTATTGTTAGGTTATCAAAATAAAATGTGTTCTTCTTGTGCATGGTGAAGGGTATGGTGACTGTTGACCTAGAGAACGGTTCCCCACCCTCACTTGAAACAGCAGACTCAGGATGTTGCAAACACATTGGCTTATGGAAGAGCCACTGAGTTGTCTTCATTCCATTTAATTTTCTGTAATTGTTACAAACACAAAAGAAAGAATTTATATTACTTGTGATAGAAGTATAATCACTTAAGCTAAGCCTGATATTGTTATTAATTTAGATATATTGGAGAAACTGGTGTTAATTTCAAAAGTTACAAAAATAATTAAATATTTTTGAGCCCACACTTGTAAGGAAGACAGTGTTAAATGTAACACATTCTGAAAAAAACTTTAACACATGCATAACTTCATCCAACTATGAAGAGCTTAAAAAGCTAGCTGTGGTGGCACGTACCTGTAATCCCAGCACTCAGGAGGCTGAGGCAGGAGGATCATTGCAAGTTCAAGACCAGCCTCGGTTACAAAGTTAACTCAAGGTCAGCCTGAACTGCTTTGTGAGACCTTGTCTCAAAAAGGCAAAGCACAAAAACAAAAAACCAAGAAAACCTACAGAGCTCAATTATTTTTTATACATAGCATTTAAGATGTTTTCTCATTTCTAGCAACTAGAAACAATTGTTACATAAAATTATGCAAAGAAGCGATGAATTTCTCACAGATTTCATGTTTCTGTACTTAGAATTAAACATGGTCTTACTTTATTTGTTGTTATTGTTGTCTTTGCCTTGCTGAGGATCAAACTCGTAACATGGTACATATAAATCATGCACTCTACCCCTGAGCTGATCCCCGAACTTGGACTCATTATAGTATTTAATTTGTTTTTCCTCCTTAATAAATCACATGTAGAAATTACTAATGTTATGCATTCCAAAGTAGGAGTGATACCTTATAAAATATACAGTGAATTTATGGAAATTTAAGTTGATTGCGGCCTCCAGGATACACTGCATACTGCACAATAAACGCTGTAAGTGTTCAGTGATGATGGTGCTGATACTGATGTCAGTGACGGTAACGGTGGTGCTAAGGGTATGCCACTTAGCTGACAAGCTCTCTTAGCAGGGTCATCGCTAAGCGTCAAATACGTAGCTTCTTGGTCCGAGCGTCATGTTGGCAAATTAGAGACATATTTAGATGTTAGAGATTAGAGACATATTTAATAAGTACATGAAAAAAAGTCTTCACCATGAAATGCAGTGAAAAGCCCTGAAATGTTTTCTACATTTTTCCACAGAATGGAAATATTAGGTTTGTGAAAAATAATTGATTTATTGCTGTTTATGTTGCCTGTGCTTGAAGGATCTAGGCTTCTAATCTTTGCTCCTTGGTATTCACAACAAAAAGGTTATGTTAGTTTAGTGTATGTGCCACTGTGCCTCTTCCTGTTATAAAATATCTTAATCCAAGCAATGTGGCCAAGAACCATAAAAAGGGTTAAGCAAGGCTGGCTCCTGTGGAGGAACAGACACTTTGAACCTGAAACATACAGGAAAGGCTTACAAAGTTTTAAGTCTATTTTAAGTTGTTGGAAAGGTGGTTGTTATGAGGCTCGTGAAGTAAATGTATCTTAGGAAAA